ATTCTAATAAAACCATTTTTAAGACGCTCGATGGACGGGCTGAGGAAGGAGAGTAAGACGGACGATGGGCTGGAGTTTAAAGTCCGTAAACGGGAAAATTCTGATAAAATCATTTTTAAGATGATCGACGGACGGAGTGAGGAAGGGGAATAAGATGAGTAAGAAGCGGCCTTTGAGGGGCGTGCAGTGGCCGGGGGTTGGGCCACGTAGTGTCCAAGAGGCGGACTCCCTAGTCTGAAAATTTTAAGGAGAAATACAGACTTTATCTGAGGGAATTTGGCAACTCTCGAATGTTCATACGACGTTCTCCCCTGGCACAGTAGAACAGACAAGGCGCGAATTTAAGCGATATGATAAAACGACGGTGAAAGTCCCAAACCACGTACCTCGTTTGCGGTATTTAAAGATCTCGGCTCCTATTTTATTATTTTAGAGCGTTGCACTAAGTCGCAGTCAAGACCAGATGTCTCAATTCGCCTTCAATTTTGATGATACTTCAAGCACATCCATAAAGTACGAATAGTGGTATCAAGCAGACGCAGGAGTTCGAGAGCCTTGTTCTGTTGTCATCTCTTGGTTTTTCACACATCAACGGTATTTTTTACGGGAGAACCTCGGAGCAATAATATTGTCAAATTGAGAAAGCCTAAGATAAAGTTTGCCCAGATGTCGAGCATGATTGTTTTGTTTTGATAGAAAAAAGTCGTCCATAATTGCCGGCGTTTTCTTTAGAAATGATTCGATTCAAACTTTTTTCACAAAAGCACGTAAAACAAAATATCGTTTGAAATTTTGATGCGATGCTCTATAGAGTATTGGAAAGACTCAGCATGAAAGACTGACAATTTTTCTTTTAGAGCTCGAATCGATCTTTTAACAGTGCTGAAAAACTCTAGTTTCTAACCTACGGTTCATTTTACCTGATACACACAAAATCACAAACATCTCTTTGCCAGTTTTTAATGTTTCATTCCTATTATCTAAGAGAAATCCAATTACGCCACTGGATAGGCATCGCGAAAAGCGCGGACCCTAATCCTTACTAAATTTCCACGAAACCGACACAACCATGTCTTGGAATTTTCATATATTTTTCGTTGTCTTGTGCAGCGTATTCTGAAAGAGTTCCGACCCATGTTACTTCTTGATGTTTTCTCTCAAAAAAGGAAACAACAGAATAGGTTTTGAGATCCAAGTTTTGCGATTTCTACCATCTACAGCCAGGACCACACAGTTGTAGCCACTTCCAGGTTCGTCATCCGTGCAAACTTGTGAAAGTGAGAATTTGATTCCATTTTGCGAGTAAAAACTAATACTATAGGTTAATTTTAAGAGTTGCTTCATTTGTGTTCCTATACGCGGACAGGTTCTACTTCTTCTTCTTTTTCTCCTCCTTCTACAACTTCCTCTTCACTATCCTATTTCTTTTCTCATTCATCTTCTGCCTCCTCTCTAATTTTGATTTTTCCTACGCGGCTGCAATTTAGTGCTTTTGGGGATGAGCCAGAAATAATATTTCCGTACTGCGGAGTGCAGTCCAACTGACAACGTTGGAAATCGTTACACGTGTTCTCGATTTTCACTATCGATGAGAACCATTATTAAACCTTAGCACCACGCCTCTCCCGGCTGCGGGAATATGCAAAGTGTTTGCGCGATAGTTGGCATGGAATCTCGTGGAGGAGGGTGAGAGACTGAGGATGGGATGGCAGAGGATTCCGAGTGAATTTTGAGGATATCCGACGGAGGGTGCCGGTGGATGCGCGGTATTATTCGCCAGACATCCTCCGAGATCCCCGAAAAGTGAGAGGGTTCAGGGTAAAGACCTTATTTATATTTTGTGCGTCCCGGCAGAAGTCTTTAGGAATAAAAAATAGGGACCGAGCGTCCCCCGCGCTCTCCGGACGGGGGCGAATTTGGTGTCGCAGCTCTTTGCGGGTCGTTCATGCATTAAAACGGAAAGAAGCGTTATCAATCATGTAGACAAGCGATGGATCGGACACGAGTCGCTGGCGTTCGCCGCGCGCCGCGCCACTGTCGCGTCGCCCAGTCTGCGATGGGGATCCTCCTTTTCCTGCTGAGTCGGGAAGGGATTCGTAGGACGAGAATAAGCGCTTTGCGGACGATTTCTCTCTTTGTTTGAGGATTTTTAGGGAACAGTCAAACTCTTTTTATTTCTTATTCGTATCCTATGTTTGCGTTCATGCCGCGCCCATATCGCCAACAAAAGATCTTGTTTCCTTCGGTCTTTCGGAATTATATGTATAGCTGTGCAGTATGAGAGGGCGCAATGAGTTATTATGGAAGTTTTTTCAATGTTAACTTGACGCGTAACTGACAATGTAACTGACGGAAAACTCTTCAATACCCTAGGGAATAAGTTACGAGCGCTTTGGTTAATTTTTGTGCCGCTGAGGCATTGAAATCGTACATAGGATTCAACAAAGTCATGCCACTAACATGCGGATTTCAATTTCAAGTTGTTTCTTCATGAAGTACTAACTTTAATGAACAACTAGCCTCTAACAGCGTCAAGGCGTCATCAAAATCAGTCAATTACGAAAGGGCTCAGCGCCAGATGTAAGAATACGACTAAAAAAGAAAGGTAAAAAAAACCATAGAAACTGTAAGAGCCAACCCGTTTTAAATCGCAGATTAATTAATAATGTGACTAATTAATTCATCGCTTTGATATTTTAGAGCTCCGAGATTCACAAGGGGTCAATTAAAACGGTTATTACCATGTTTCTCGGATTCTAATTTTTGGCGATTATTGAGCCCTTTTGCAACTGACCAATTAGTTTGACACGACACAAACATTATATTAGGTGATTTTTAGAAACTTTATGCCTTTAGCCCTACCCCCCCCTCCTTCGTAAGACGCTGCATGCCTCAGTATCACTTACTCAATTTTGCAGGTTTTTTTTTTTTTTTTTTAGGACCAGTAGGGTTTTTCTTCCCGTGTATGATCACGCATCGAGATTCTTTCTTCAGTTCCCCTTTCTAAGCTGCCTCATCCACCTACAACCGCGATTGCATCGTCTCTTGTCCCCACTCTTGTACCCCTCCCCCCTCATAACTATCTACTCGAGCACCCTATGCATCTCATCATTCCCGCCGGGCCGCAAAACATGCGAACATTAATTACTGTTGTGCGCATAATGGACGCAATTTATTCCGTCTTGGGGCTCCATTTGGAGCGTAGCCCCCGGGCGCCGGGTGCCGCCTGCCTGTCACCTGTCAACGATATCATTTGAATGTCCTCGATTCATTAATCCTGTTCGCTCCTGACTGCCGACAAATGATGCAACGACCCCTCCCTCTACTTTTTGATCCTCCCGCAATGACAGTTCCGCCATTGTCCTTCGCTTGATTGTCTTCGAGGATCGAGGAGAGGAGAGAAAAGATAAACCCGCTACGTCTTGGAATTTACGAAAATGATGGAACGGCGGTTCGAGGAGTCATGCAAGGGGTTTTGCAAGTCGTCATCTGTGTTGCAAGTTGAAAACTGCTGGAGTGAGTGAACTTTTCGCTGCAAGATCGCAAAAAAATTAAAAGTTAGCGGATTACATCGAATCTCACGTCTGCAATGCTTTTCATGTATGAAACATTTAAACAGAAAACGCAAGTAGTTATGAAAGACATTGTGAAATTGATCTTTTTCCAAAGTTTGCCTGGAAATAAGCCTTTAAAAAGAATAACACATCACTCGTGATAGAACCGGGAAATTTTAGCACACAGTTTTGCTGATGTTAGCGCGAGATCAGAAGAAAAACCAGTGACATTTCCAACATGTGCTAAGTACGGCAAATACGATTTGTCGGAGAAAAATTTGCAATGTTGAAATGTAACTGCATCCGTTCGTTGGGAAACATGGATCATGATAGTCTCGCACTGCGTACACAGTTAAAAAATTCGTGTTCGGTGTTACTCTGTGTTATTTTTCTTTGTCTCAGAGCAACGCTAAGGACTTGGCTGCTCAACACAATGTAGTGTTAAATCGACCCAAACTGCAGGTTATTTTGAAACATCGGGACATGAAGAAAGTGTCCTGCGAAACTTATCCACCTACTCTTGTTTTCGTTCCCGTCACTCAGAGGTTATGGCTCAAGGTTTGGCTGGCACACTAATTGGATTATCACCGATGCGATCCTGACTACTGACCCTTAGTTTTAACGAGGTCGCGGAATTCCAACACAAAACTTGGGTGCTTCAACACAAAAATTTGGTAGATGTGACACTGGGAAAATTAACACACAAAAAATTAACCAACAGCTGTGTTACTTCGTGTTTTACTTCCAAGGTTAACACACAATTTTGGTTATTTTTTCTCACTGTGTATATACCATTCTGCCGTGCTGAGGAAAAACGCCGTATGAACATTCGAGAGTTGCCAAATTTTCTCTTAGAAAGTATTTATAATTTAAGAAAGATATGGACATTTTCCCTTGAAATTTTCAGACTTTTAGATCAAGTTTAGGACAAAATTCTCTGGGAAAAACGGAAAAAATATTAAAACATTTCCCCGAAAATTCATGATTTGTAGAGGGAGATTTGGCAATGGCTGATGGTTCATACGGCGCTCTTCCTTAGCACGGCAGTATGATCATGATTGTACCTTTTGGTTCTTTTTTCTTCTGTTCCCCTCCATTTTTAGGACGCAAAACAAAGACTTTAAAGAAACTTCATAAGATTATCAGCCGATTAAGTGAGTTTGTGTTCTTCATAGAAGACAGAAGATGTGTACTAGGAAAAAAACACATTGGATCTAGAGTCTAGACTCTTGAAAACATTGACAAGAAAAAATACTCTTAATTCAATCGAATTTTTGCTTAAATCAAAAGGAAATCCGCTCAAATTGAGAGGCTTGGTTCTTGATTTAAGCAAAAATCCGACTGAATCAAGAGTATTTTTTCTTGTCGATGTTTTTAAGAGTCTGGAATCTAGATCCAATGTGTTTTCTTTTCCAGTGTAGTTATTCAAAAAGTGTTGAACCATACCTGGAATAGCAGATCCGTGCGGCACGAGGTACGCAAGCGTGGTCCATAGGTACAGGGGGAAGAGCAATTGGAAATTCTTCATGTCGATCTCTTCTCAGACAACGAGACGATCCGAACAATTCGCACTCGGATTCCCGTGGCCACTTCCGAACATCGCACTGTCACTGCAAATACCCACCTGACGTCTTAAAAGAGGACGGTAATTAGAACGAAACACCCGAATCCGCGAACACGGCGGCGTGTTATAAGGTGGTACCACGTATCCAAATCACCGCTCACGTGTGGCACACACGTCGAGGTTCAACATATCGATTCCCGGTTCAGGTCTGAAACAAACAAGCAAATCTGTGAGTAATATACTATGCGCTCAAAAGACGCTTACAGTTGGGGTTGATACATTCCCTTAACACTTTAATAAGGAAATGCAGTTATCCTTCAATGGACCACTAGACAAGGTACGAATTTCAGCATTCTGATACATGTTTATTCTCCAAAAGTTCACGTAAAACACGATGCGCACAACGAAAATTACCGAAATCAACTCCTTCCGAGGATATTAAATGATTCTTGGTGCGTGAATTGAAACCACCCGCTCATGAAAACTCAATGCTCTACGTGATTCACATTGCGCGTTAAACGTTATCAAAAACGTCTCTGCGATTAAGAAATCTAGCAACCTCAATCTTGACGCTTTGGCTCAGCTATAGCAAATTACTTATAGTTTGAAAAACACATGGTGGGAAATGAACATTGCTCGATTGAGAAGCTTGCTGAAACTGTTGCAGTGCGCGATTTGACTCACGTAGAGCTTTGAGTTTCTTGTGAGCGGGCAGTTGAAATTCCTCGTAACTAATGTGAAACAAAAATGTTAAGATCTCCGTTAGAAGTTGGTTCCAGTAATTTTCGTTGCGCGAATCGTGTTCTACGTGAAATTCTGGTTAAAAAACATATATCAGAATGCTTAAATTTGTACCTTGTCTAGTGGTCCATTCAGTGTTTATGCAATTCGAGTGACCCAGGAGTTGAAATAGTGGTATATCACGTGATTTGGTATCTCAGCACATTATTACCTTAACACACCATTCAGAAAACTGAGTTCTCCTCCAAATCAGTGGTTATGCAATTAGCGTCACCCACGAATCGAAATAGTTGTATCACACAGTCTAGTGTCCCCGCTTTCTATTTCAAGTTGTATTTTCCCATTAGACTGATGTTATAGATAAAGTTAGTGTAACCCCTTTATTTTCACATTCAAATTATTTTTTCTCTACTTTGATTTTTTGATTGTAGATAATAAGCGACTGGTTTACCTCAAAATTAACCTTAACTTGTTTTTCTCCAAATGAGGTTTTACCCCTTTTTGCCTTGTGGCGTTCATTTGAAATGATGGCTATGTCTCTTGTGACAAAGAATGTTCGCTGTAACGTTAGGATAAAGTACCGTTCTAAAGTAAGTCCTTAATAGCAGAAAATGTGAACACTTTCAGTGTGCTAAAATACGTATTACTACGCAATCGAATCAAAAATGGCAAGCGAATAGCAGCGAAGCAGAACCGTTCGGAGAAAAGCGGCGAGAGGTTGGATCTCCGCGGTCATAAATAGTCGTCCCTCACTTACATGCTGAAAGATAAGAAATAAGGTCCAGATCAATTTTAAGCTGAATTTATTTCTCGCAGCATTTCTTTTTAATTCGACTCAGGGGGGCTATGACGGGCGGTGGGAGGAAGGGGTACCGGTCCCCGCTACCGCCGTCTATAAAAATAAATAGTCAAAATATCGGCCATATAAATCTTCCTGGCGAGAAAATTACGGTTTTATGGCCGCTCAACTTTCGCGCCAACCGAGGGAAGTTCGGCCAAATTTAAAAAGTTTAATCTCGTTCTCTCCCCATTTGCCCCCCGCTCCCTGCTCCACCGCCGCCGCGGTGCCTTCAAACCCGAACGCATCATCCCCACACTCGCTTTATCGGGGAAGTTCGCGCCTCTGTCCCTCTTTTTTTTAGTGGAAGAAATCATTTTCGAGAACGTTTCACATTGATTTTCAGCGTTGTCACCGCTTCATATTCTAGAAATTTATGCGTTCGGCCTTTGTTTCATTTTTATATTAAGTGTTTTTCTTAAAAAATAATATTTATAAAAAGGATCCAACAAAAACGGATTTCATGCATTACCGTTGCCTATATGCGGGGGAAACCCTTGATTTCCCGGGGGTGGGGCGGGTGGGAGTGCAGTCCCCTTAAAAAGCACTTTTAGAAAAAATTTCATAGAGGAGATAAGTCTCATTTTGAACCACAGAACACGACCCTGCAGCTTGGTGATTTGGCATTGGATCACCTTGTACACTGTCGTACTAAAGAAAAACGCCGAGAGAACCTGCGGGCGTTGCAACATTTCCGACAATAAAATACTCATCAACTGGGGAAATTTTAAATTTCCTCAAATTTTTCGGACAATTTTTTTTTCGCAATGGAATGTAAAATATCTGAGACTTTTGAGAACAAACATACATAAGAATCCTCGAAAAGAAATTTTTTATCCGAGAAAATTTGGCAACTTTCGAATGTTCATACGGCGTTTTTCCTTAGTACGGCAGTATACAGCAGCAAAGACTCTAAGAGTGCGGTGAGTTTGGCCTTGTGGCGGCCAGAAAAGACCACCCCCCCGCCCCGCTCCCAGACCTCCTACTTCCCTGCCATACAAGGAATGCGACATTGGAGGCATCAACCCCCGACAATTCGTCGCTTGGCTGACATAAGGACGTAACGACACATTGAGATGAGCCCGGAAAAGCATTGGAATGTATGGAAGGCAGGGTCCATTGCAGAGTGTAGTTACGCCTTTGTGTCAAGTAGGCGACGAATTGTGAGCGTGGAGGTGGCGCGCGCGTCGCGGGTTTGGAATTTTTCACTTGAATTTCCTCGGAGAAAACAATTTTAATACCTAATCAAATTGAGATAGGTTGCAAAAGAAAGAATGCAGCCCCACTCTCGCGCTCATACTTGAATACTTCAAAACGGAAACGAGAAATCAAGTTCGCCTTCAACTCGATGGATACAATTTGAGCGGCTCAGGAGTTGATATAGTTGTATCACGCCTTTAAGTTTAGCGTGATGTTCTGGGACGAGTGAACTTAATTGTACTCTCTGTGTTTTTAGTGACCTCCTCAGTTGAACTGTCAATATTTTTACTTGATTTTTCCCGCAAAAAAATATTTTAATATTGACATTGAAATAAGTTGCAAAAGTTAAAAATTAGCACCGTTCTTGCGTTCATGTGTGTAATCGGGTTATTTGCAAGTTTTAACTTCACGTACATACAATTGCGGTGCTTAAAAGTTTGCATCGCTCTATTTAAATTAACATTTTTTTTCTTCTTCGTTAGAAGACAGGGAAAAGTCGGGGACTTTCAGCGCCAATGATCAAGAAATCTTTCCAAAAAGTCAGGAAATTTTGAAATTGGATCGCACTTATTACACCCCGGATCAGTGACCGCACACAACCGTTTTGGCACAGATTACTTCCACTGCTACTGTTTCGACGAACGTAATCGCATTCAGCAGAATTCAGCAAGTCGTATCAGCCTACCAGACTTCATCGGATGATTTATCTTCTTACGGGAGAAAGGGCGAGTGAATTCTTTTGAAAATTGCAGGAAATTTCCGCCATGACATGGGATAAATTCCCTGCAATTTTGAAAAGAATCTGTACAACTGTCATCTTTTAAACAATAATGGTCGATGGAAGGAGGAATATTAACAATGGGCCGTTTTTGAGGCAGATCGTGAATTTCTGCAACTTCGCAATTTATTGCTCATCGAGGGTATACATCAGACGAAATGAAAATGATTCGGACATTTTCAATCTATTTCTGGGTCTTGTACTAGCCTGAACATGGATCTGAAAGCATTTGCAGTCAAATGCAAAGAAAATCCGCATTATCGGACCATTGTTCAATAGACCCGGTAATAGACCCAAAAAGAGACCGGAAATGACAAAATCATGACCCTCAATGTTCAACCAATTGTAGAGGTGGAGAAATTCAGCCATGGGGGGCCGAATAACGGCCTTATCGATACCCTTCCTTTGGCGATAGCTGATGTAGCTTGGTCCTTGCTGCTGAACGCTGTCCAAGGGCCTTGTGCGCGGTTCGCGGAACTTACTTCGGGGGACTTGCTCCCGGGGAACTTGTTCTCCAAATCCCGGAACTTCCTCCGTACTCCGAGCTTCTGTTTTCCTTCCGTCAAGAATTTTTTCGTTTGTGTTTTTTACGTCCTTTATGTCTTAACATTTGTTTTTCTTACTCTCGCGGTCGTAGTAATATATTATTTTGCAATGATTTTATGGTTTTATATTAAAGTTCCGGTTCCGGTTCGGGCGAGCTCGTGTGAACAGCATCCCTCGTTTTAAGGAACAAGTTTCGGGAAACCGGGCAGTTCGTCGAATAAGTTCCTCGAACCGCGCTCGTGTGGACAGGGCCCAAGTGTCTTCAAGTCGCGAGGAAATGAGATGACCACGTTGCGTCGGGAACCGAGGGTAAAAATTTGCGGTCATGAGGAGAATGACCGTTTTGTAATGTTTGCTTTCCACGACCGGAAGGATGGCATGCGTTGGACGCTGAGCACCCACAGTAAGGCCGTCAAAGGCATCGAGCAAATAGCCCTTGAATATTGATGACCGCGCCAGCTCAGGGATTCTGCCACGCGCTGTTGTCGCGCTCGACGGTCAAATTCATTTTCGTTTCATTGTCTTTCACACAAAACTTGGGAAACAAAAAATTCTCGGAAGAAAATCGGCAGTTCCGCATTGAGATGAGCCCCTTTGCCAACCGGCTTGGATGACCCTTATCTCGCACCAAAGCTTTTTGCGGGGGTGTTTCCGTGCTCCTTTCCTAGTGAGGCGTTGAACTCCTACGATGGTGGATGAAAAATTTAATACCCCCGTCCTCTCTATCTCAGCTATCTTTTTTTCTCCCTCCCCTTTTGTGTCTCGTTTTCTCTTTTTCAACGACAATTGAGTCAAATAGAATTTAGGAGTAAAATCTGGTTTGGCTTGCAAATGTATAAACGTTTTAAATGATTCTCATCAATGAAGTGATTGTTAGTGATGCAAAATTACCTTTCGTGATTCTTAAATGGACGTAGTTCTGCCAAACGGAACTATGTGCATTACGACAAGAGCCCTGAGACCCATAAGAATATAATGCATAACAGGGCTTACGTCACAATGCACATAGGTCCGTTTGATAGAAATACATCCAAATGGCCATTGCGGGTGATACAAACCCATCCCCGGTAAGTTTTTGACAAAATATACACCAATGGCGTGAGCCGGTCGTTCGCCCAAGCCCAATAATAATACGGCGTCATTTATAAAATGACTATACAGTTTGTATAGTGTAACTGTACGTGAAGATCACCATGTAAAATATGAACGCAGAATGCGCAAAATTACAAACAGTTTAAAAGTGATGCTATATTGTGTGTCTTTAAAGAAATCCAGATGTACGGATCCAATGGGAATTTCTACCATCCTTTTATTTTTTGGTGATGACACCTTTTTTTATCAATTGTTTTGGCAGTGCTATTGAAAAATATGTAACTAACCTACGAACGTAATGCGACAGTACATCCACACAGTCTCATTGCTGTTTCAATGGGCTGGTTCGCAGTAATTGCACAGTGAGGGTTGGTTCAGACTCCAGACAACAGACACTGAACCGCACTTATCAAAGATACAGCTGAGAGTAATAGTAGCAATTTACAGGGGAATGAGAGATAATGTTGTTCTAAGTATTTGTCCAGTAGCACGACAAGCACTCCGTTTACATACTCCAGAATATTTACATTGCTACGAGATGCGGAAAAAAATAAATATAAATAAAAATAAGATAGGGATTAGAAACTCAATTTGATTCGGAAAGGTTGATCACACACAGCACTTCATGGACCGAAAGTATGATGATTTAACTTGACATTCAAGAGATGATTTTACACTGAAAAAACGGTGAAGGATTTAGAAAAAAAATTAGGCATCGGAAAAACACATCCTACGTTTCCTAGATTCTCCAACGGCAAAGATAACATACTCAATGGCGTAAATTTCATTTCAATTTTTCAATTATTAAAACTTCAGTTTCAAATATTTCGGAATATGGTGTATTGGATATGATACACACATGTAGTTTTAACTATACAGGTGAAGCAACACCGATTGAAAAAATCGAATTATCTAGATTAAACTATGGTCACAGTTACGCTCAGTTAGCTCGAGTGCGGGCAGAATTTCAAATTACCACAAAATCTACCCTGGTACGAGGCTGCATGCTACGAAAAGAACTGGGAAACTACCATCCGACAACTTTCAGCAAAGAGCTTGGGGCTGTGACCAAGCCGAGAGGGGTCACTCCGACGAGAGTGAGCTTCGAAAAAGCACACGTGTTCGCGGGAACCGGCGAGACGCGACGTTCGCGGACATGACCGACGCGCGTAGCAGCTTCACTGCGACTGCCTGGCAGTCACTGCCACATCTGTCGCAGCGTGGAGCCGAAGTAGCGCGGCGCCGTTTCCAAGGCAACCCCCTCCGACACCCTCACCACCCCCGCCGCCCCCGACGCTCCACGAGTGTCATTATCATAATACATCTCTCTGATACCCCTCACGCTCTCCATCATGTCGTCTGCGGTCCAGTAGGGTCCGCAGGCAAAAGCTCGAAAATCGCTGCACTTGCCGGCCGAGTGCCTAAATAGCGATACTATTGCCGTTTCGACGCATAGGTGGATCCAGAGGGGGGTGGGTGGCTGAGGGAGCGTGCGCCCCCCCTCCCCGCCCGTTCGCTTAAAAAAGGAAGAAAAAAAGAAAAAGGAAGAGAGAAGGAAGGAGCGGAGGAAAGACGCTTACATTTTGTATTTATTCATGACAAAATTGACTCGAACTCCATATTCATAGAGTACATAGAATCGTAATGTAAGTGGGTGAGCTGGCGCCACTTTTAAGCATTTTCCAGGTCCCGAACTCCAAGACTCCTGTGTGACGCCGGGTCACTTTTTCGATACATAATCGATTGTTTGCGATACACGGGTACCCGGCCATCCGATGTAAACAAAGAAGATAGGAATCACCACGTATTCCATACCGCCATTTTGGATCGAACATGTATCGAAAAAGTGACCCGAACTCGGCGCACACCGGGCTCGGAACTC